TTACATTAATTGTTACAATTCAACTTAAAATGTTTAAAATGCTTTTAAAGATTAAAGTATTTACAAATATCACCCAATAAAATGAATTTACAAAATACACAATAAAAAAAAAATTCCTGCAAACTCACCATCACCAATCCCCTAAAAGAAATAGTACCAAGAGCTTATCTGGTATAATGGTTAAAATTTAGTAGATAACAAATAGCATATAATAGGTAGCGAGTAATGAATAACAATAGTAGGTAATAGGAAATAGTTAGCAGATAATGGGTGGCAAATAGCTGAAAGTGAATAATCAATAATGAATAACAGATTTGATTAATATAATTATTTGGTTATATAATAGTTAGCAATTATTATTTAAAATTAAATAATTGATAAAAATATGTTTAAAAATAATTAAGCGTATTTTTTTTATATTTTTATTATTAAAATTATTAATTTTATAATAATAATAATAAATAAATAAATTATAATAGTGTAATCATACATTCATTTTTATTTTTAATAAAAAAAATTATATTAGTTTTAAATAAAGTACAAAAATTTTTTAATATTTTTGTCTAATTACCAAATTTTTTTATTAACCTATTATATCTTTATGATAAAGTAATGTAAAAATAAAAATATAATAATTACTTAACATTATTAAGGACAAAAAATAGTGTTAAAGCTAATTAAATAAATATTAATTAAAAAACATAGCCAAAATTAAAAAATTAAAAAGGATAAATTTGTTAATAAAATTAAAAAATTCCAATCCATTACCAGTTTGGTACAAAAAGCAATCTTAGATAGCTTTTTCAATCCATAACAATTTAGATTCTAATTGCTATCCGTTAGTTTTAAACCATTAAATAAAAATATTAATTTAGAGCAATTTCAAAATAAATAAATTTACTACATATCTATTATTAACGATTTAGATAAAATTACTAACAATTATCTCAAACCATTATATCAAATGAGGCTTGAGTGAGGAAAAAGAAAATTAAAGGTAAATGGGTAACTGTTATTCTCGGTTACCGGTTTATATTTATTTTCTTTCAATATTTATGCAACGTGTCAGCAAGAGAGGGGTAAGTGTTGAAGATAGGGCTTATGGGTGAGTGGCCATAGAACTGCTCATGCAAATAATAATACCAAAGTGATCAGTGGAAATTATACACATTATTTCTATAAAATAATATCATTAATGCATATAAAAATTTAACTCTCTGATATGTTTGATGTCATTTGGTGGCAAACTATCATAGACATACCAATATTGAATGAAAATTTTTCCATCAGTGAGAAGGTTGCAAAAGTATAAACCTACAAAAAGCTCAGTTGCACAACAGCATAACTGTTAGTAATAGGTTCTATAACCCATGACTAACGTTGATGAATTTGTTGCCCATGAAAGGCTGCTTTTCTAATAGTGAGACATGGTTAGATCTATGATGAGTCAAGTAATTCTTCAAAGCAGCTATCTAAGAACAGTGGCATACCTTGTTGCATCTAAGGCATTGAAACCGCAACATGTAAGATATAGTCAGAATGAAATCCAGATAGGTGAAGCTTCAAATTCAAATCATGCTAATGCCGACAGTATGATAAGTATTCAAGAGAAATCAATACCAGTGCCATTATATATATCCAACAAAGCATATATAAAGGAGTTCTGTCTTTGAATGGTTTTGGAAAGAAACCTCAATCCAAAAGAATCAGTAGAAGTAATAATTTTTTTAAAGATGAATAGTATAAGTAATATTGAACTTGGAGAAGTTGAAAAGATCATCTGTTAGCATTGAACATATAATGGAACAAAGAGGGCGACAGAGAGTTGTAGTGCAAATAGTATACAAACAATTACGTAGGAAGAAAACTACTAAGATCAGAGGGTTAATACTCTTTGATTGTTTGTAGACGAGTATGAGTACTCATTCTACTTCACTTAATAAGATTACTGCTTCAAAAAAAAAAAATTATGTAGGATGAAAATGTCATAAACAAAATGTCATACACGAGAAAACATTGTTTTTCTGATGAACACTTTGGAGAGTGATGTGCGACCCGTAGGATAGTCTTACAACCTACTAAAGAGTTAGATCCCATGTTCGTCAATTGTGAGGATCATGGTCGATATAACTATAAGAGTTAGATCTCAAGGATTACAATATTACTTTTTTGTAATAGAGAAGAACATAATTAAATTTTTCATATAAAAACAATTTCACAATATTGATAAAATGATTTATGACATGAATCTCATAACAATTGTTGTAGTTAATTAACTAATTTTCAATAATGTTTCAAAATATTAACCATTCTATAATGAGGTTCCTTAATAACAGGTACAAACTCTTTTATTCAATGATTAGTATTTGTAATTCAATATAATTTAAATAATAAAATGCTAGACTTTATAATTAACAGTACTTTGCCAAACATAAATATGAATGAAGATGAGACCTTCCATAATAGGAATCTATTAGAAGATGATTGAACTCATTCAGTTGAATTTTTCCACTTCAGATTATGCAAATCAGAGCATGGATGAGAATTTTTTTTTATTAGAGCTTAACAGTGGAATTTTTAACTCATAAAAAACAAATTTTAAAAGCCAACAAATGAACAACTTTTACTTTAGACATCACGTGAAAACAGATTAAGGTTGCTCTTCCAAGTCTTACATAAACCTAAAAATTGCGTTGGGAATTCGGCATGCAAACAAATACATTTGAGATAATCAGTGTGTTACTGAAGGAAATTAGATACTGTAGAACACTTTCCTTGCGACTCCAATATTGGAGGGGAAAGTAAAAACTAACTTTAATTTACTTTTGGGTAAAAGTACCATTTCAATCAGGAAAATTAAAAGAGGAAATTTCGATATCATCTGAATTAAACAAAAAAATAATAAGTCTAGAATAGCATGATAATAATAATATTTGAACAAAAAGTCGAGTAATGAAAAGCCACCTACTAAACAATAAAGCTTCAAATGGCAAATGACCATAAAATGGAAACCCAAAAAGGAAAAAATTTGCTTGAAACCAACCAGATTTGATCTTTGTTCTTTAAATCCGCTGGAATCTCTTCTTCTCGTCAATTTAATATCATTTGTCATTCCCATTTTCTAGCAAATGCAGAAAAGCAAATAAGAATAAATCTCCAAGGAAGATTTTTCTTTTGCGAAGAACAAGTTCCATGGAAACAAATAGATCCTTTTATGATCCTAAAATGGTAGAGTACCTTATCGAAGAGAAAGAATACGAGTCCTCGTATCAGTTGTGAAGATTGGGGGAAGAAGAGGATGGCCTATCCGAAGCAGCATCATGCTTGTCCTCACCATGAATTCGAGCCAGAGCGCTGAACCCTGGCATCGCATCGGTAGCAAACCGGCCACCGAAGGTGGATGCCTGGTGAATTTCGTGCGTTTTGTGATGTTCCGTGGATGCAATAGGAAGATCATTCCAAGCACGCAAAGATTCCACAAAACTGGACTGAAGGGGCCCCCTCAGTGAAAAACCAGAGCCCTGTCCTAACACTGCTTGTTGCTGCGAAAATGGAGGTGGGTTTAACATAAACCCAGCACCTACCATTCTCTGAAAATTGGCCTCTAACCCCACCAGAGCGGACCCAGAAAAAAGGGTCTGACTGTTTGAAGGTGAATGGCTTGTATCTCCCTGTGACTCCCCTTGAATCAGACGCGGGTCTTGAAACGAATGAAGAGATAGACCAAGATCTTCACTAGGGTTTGCAGTTCTTGAGATTATCTCTGGTGGATAGTTTTGGAAATTGATAGTCATACCAGCAGTGCTCGTTGGGAAGAAAGATTTCATGGAATCAGCCATAGCCATATCGGTTTCGTCAATTTGTCCTGCAACAAATTCATTGCTCTGGTTATGATCCAATTGCTGCCTCTGAAGCTGGTAATTGTATCCAGACGAATCTGACTGCTCTGCAACAGTCACCTTACCCGTACCTCCGTCAGGCTCAGCATCGACAGTAGCGCTGGTGCTGACATTCGGGTCCCATGGAGGAAGCTCCGCGAGCTTGTCAATGGCAGACTTGGCTTTCTTGATAAGCCAATCCACTGCTTTGCTGGGTCTATCGTACCCTAACCTGTCTTGAACATCATAAAATTGGATTGCGGTATGAGCCGATAGTCGTACACGGCGATCTCTTGGACCTTTTGCAGTGTAGACCTTGCTGTGTCGGTCTTTCCGTCCTGTGGATCTAACAATGTGCCCTCCTTGTACTTGAACTATCTCTCCTCCGGAGCCCTTCATTTCCATATTCCCTCTTTTTCTTGCATACTCTGTGGTCCGTGCTAAAAATTCTTCTCCTTGCTAGGTATTTACGCCTAGGTATTTACTGTTCGTACAAGATTCTTGGCCCTTAGAGAGTGCTTCTCGTAGTAAAAGGTGAAAGAATAGTTGGGTCGGTCTGACGATTCTGATGCTCCTGCACGGGTCCGTTACAGCGTTTCTTGTAGTACTCAAAATCTGATTGCTATTCTGTTCATCTAATCTGTTGTTGCCTGCTTCTCTTCACCTCAAAGCTGATACTGCTGATCCCTAGCCATTGCACTCCTAAGATTTTAAAACTCAATATCCCTGAAAATACGAACAAATTTTTATGAAGCTGATAAGGTCTTTACAACTAGCTAGGCTGAAATTGTGGGTTTTTTTTTTTTTTTTTTCCTATGAAGGCTCAAAAAAATTGTAAGAAAAAAAGAGGGATTTCATTTGAGAAGCAGATGATATGCATAAGTAGAAAATGGAAATAAAGTTAGAGGGTAAATGAGTTGTTTTAGAAAGTAAAAGATGAGAGATGTGAGAGGGGAGGGGGAGATGTGGTAGATGCTTCTGTGATGAATGGCAGAGCAGAATTTGGTCAGAGTGGGAAAGATTGAAGATGTCAGCCCCACAGGATGAATATAACAACAAAGTCACATAAGCAAAGGCCAAAAAACTCTATCTTCTCTATTTCTCTCTCATATTTATAACCTTTAAAGACTTTCTTAATCAAAATTGAAGGTAATGAGTTATGATTGGAGTCATGGTTGATAAAGAGATGACTCTAATGGCCACCCACTGCTTTTGAAGACTTGATAATGATACCTAACAGCATTTTTTTTTTTTTCTGTCTTCGAAACTTTTATACGCACATTTAACTTTCCACCGTTAAAGATGTGTGGTTACATTTTTTTTGTCGGCAATGTGTGGTTACATTAAAAGATTCAATATAATATATATATATATATATATATAGAATTACAGGAATATCGGGGTGGGGGATATGTAAAATTTGAGTTTAGAACCCAATATCTCAATGTCCTAACATTTTTCTCAGAGAGGGTTGGCCAATAAGCCACCATGTGGTGGTCCAGATTCTTTTGGGGGCATCAGAAATTAGTAACTTAATTTTATCGTACAATAATTTTGCCCGTAGTAAGTGCATAAATGTTTTACTTGAATTATAAGAGTCAGTCAAGTAAAATGAGTTAATCATATTTTTTATTTTAATAATAAAATACAATTTTACTATCACAGGGTACAAAGGAAATGAATCCATGAGACCGCTATAGCATAAGATTGTAAAATTTTTTTCCGACATAGAGTTATATGTACATATTCCTTTTCAAAAAGGGAAGGACAGAAGACATCCTTCTAAACATACTTCCTCAGCAGGCCATTTAGTACTCCATCAAATCATGCTTCTTGTACGTTTAAGTCTGAATTGTCTGATAAGGAAATTCAAATCACCATAGTTCGTGTATAAATTAACTATTTGCCAGTTTAATTAGCTTATACATATCTCTAAAGCGCAGATAATAAATGAAGTTAATACTGTTCAGTTCATTGCTTTAGCAGGTTTTCTTCTGAAATTAAGTTTGCTTCCTTTCCGGACTGTAAGCTTAACTAATTATATGATCTGCGTGATTCTAACATTGTATTAAGTTTGGGCTTTTATAAAACTTTGGTTTTTTTTTTTTTTTTTAACTTGTGGCTTAAGTTGAAAAGTGTAAATATTATTTTTTTGTTGTCATTAAGTTAAATAAAAATTAACTTTAATTTTAACAATTAATCAATTAAATTAATATATGTAGTATTAGTATTGAAATAAATATCAATTTTTTATTTTTTCATATGATTTAATGAAAAAAAATATATTAATTATTATCTTAATATGTACCCTAAAGACAGGGCATATATTAGAAAAATCATTAAACTTCTACAGCTTGTGTGTGTGCGTGTTATCTAAGGACTCCTATTGAAAATTAATGCCGAGCTTACCCTTTTGTCAGGTAAACAAAAATATAGAAGACTAGTGTTCTTCTTGAGGAATAAAATCTAGGCGTGGCAACTTATTGATAAAGGGGTATTTGCTCTCCACTTTATTAAATAAAATTTATATTAACAAGTAATTATTTGTGAAATTTTTAAATATAAACTAGATAATATGTATTTGATAAGATCAATGAGAGATTATTCTTATTAAAGTACATGTTAATTAGAGCACCATATTGATGTAACTAGGGACGGACCTAGAAACACGGGAAAAAAAAAAAGGTTAACCTAGAGACAATTAGAGTACCCGTATTAAACATTTTCTCAAAGCTACGGGGGCCGGCTACCCCCCGTCTACGGATAGCCCGTCCCTGGACGTAACCTTCAACAAAATTAAAATTTAATCAGTTATACTAATTAAATGCTAATCCAGAGCCATGAGGGAATCCTCGTTTGGGGGGAAGTCCATCCTCACAGGAAGAGGATGGGGGGGCATTCATTTCCTCCTGAAATTTTACGAGTAATTTTTCTTACCCTTTGGAACTTATGGAGCTTCTCGTCTCTAACAAAAATTAAAAAAATAAAAATACCATTAAATCCAAATAGCAACTTATATTATTCATTTTTAACCCAAACCCATTTCTAATGACTATTTCTTTTCAATTAATTTTAAACCTGAGCAATTAAACATTTTAAATTTAAATAAAAAATTTTATATTGTTATTTTAATTAATAAATTTTTAATATATTTAATATTATATAACGGGGAATGAGAATTCTTGTGGGGATCTCATGGCCCGGGGATCGGGGCAAAACTTGAGGAATAGAATTGAGCAATTATTTATCCATTAGCCTACATCTCTTTAGTTGTATGCCAGAAACAACAACGGTAGCAATACCTCTTATCCTGATTCCCTGCGGTCATCGAGAATTCATTAAACTCTTTCGCCGCAGATATATGCTCCACGCCCCCATCAATGCCATCGAATTTGGCACCTCCAAAAACATGGTCATCTCCTTCAAATGGACATCCCAATTTCTTTTCGAGCTCACTCCCTTAAATTATCTAACCTAAGAAGCCCAATCTAACTCTTTGTTGAATAGATATAAAATTTATAAGTTATCTGAGGTCCTTCTGGAATAACCCAAACAGTTTTCTAGAGTTTTCAAGATAAAGAAAATCATAATTTTTTCTAATCACACAAGATAAAGGTAAATTTATTTTATTTTTTGTAATTAATTTATATTAAAATTTACAAAACTAAACTTTATTTTCAACAACACCAATGTTACATGAAATAATTTAATTAAATTGTTAATAAAACTAAAATCAATTTTTATTTTTTCTATATAAATTAGTAACTAAAAGGTATAGTAAAAGCACTATTAAGATACATGTTAGAAAATTTCAAAGCATAATTAATGGCTGGTGTTAACTACTTATTGGGTTTGTCTAACCTGTGTATTTAAGGAAGTGCTGCCTGCATCTTTCAACATTTAGTTTTTACTCCCTCTGTCCCAAAAAGGTTGTTGTTATTTTATTTTTCTCTAATTTAATGATGTGGAGACAATTTTTGTATCTATATTACTCTTAAAAAAAAAATAAAAGATAAAGTAAAATTTTTTGACTTTTTTGTGATAAGATAATTAATCAAAATAAATAGATAAAAATAAGGCTAAGGTAGGAAAAAAATATTTAGAGAAATGGTACATACACCTACTCCGTTATACATTAATAATTTTCGTTATTTGATCCATTACACACTGACAATTCATAAAAATTGAGTTACTATTTTAGGCACAAAATTAGCAAGAAGTTAATGGATTAAGTAATAGAGAGTCAATGTGTAACAAAGTATAGTGTATGTATCATTGTCCAAATATTTATTCATCTTAAAAAATTTAAAAATAATAATTAATTTAGAACAAACTTAAAGTGTTAAAAAAAAGATAATTATTTTGAGATAAAAAGAGTATAAAAAATCAAAATGGTTGACCTTATTTTTTATATTAATAATGCCACGTGTGTACTTTTAGTATACAATTGATTAAATTAAAATTATTTTTTAATTTTTCAATATCAATTAATTACCAAAATATGTGATAAGTACATTCTTATTTTGTGCCTTAACATACAAGAATTAATGGAGATCCAATGAGGAATTGTTTCTATTAATAAAACTAGCATGATGGGGGCAGGCCAGGCTTCATGTTTGCTCCCGTCCAACCCTAATTTCCCTCCTTAAAATTCATTATGTGACATCAATAGACAAATCCTAACATCTACAAAATATTAAGGGTGAGAGCATTGGGTATCGGTATATCGGTTACTTGTAATTTTTTTATCCGTTTAGATAAATATCATACCAAAATTGTAGAAAAAATGGGTAAGTAATGTGTATGAAAATAGTTTACCCATAAGTATCAAGTTAAGTGATAAATATAGGGGTTCAAAACTATCACGCCCCAAAACCCAATTCTGAGGACGTGGCAAATGCCGTGCACTCATGAGACGGGTCCCACAAGTGCACAAGGCTCGGAACTTATTCAAATCACAAAATCTCAAGAATAAATCTACTTTACAAAATGATGATAAAATCTAAAGCTTATATCCAATTAGAATGGCTAGCCTTCTACCTCGTCACACCCCTCGTTTCCCCATCCTCGGTTTCGCTTCCTGAAATGGTGGACAAGGAAAACTATGAGATAAAATATCTTAGTAAGTAAAAATATGGATAGCTCTTGGTAAAAATTTTTAAGCATGCCAGATAAACCGTTAATGCAAAATCCGGTTCAGTTCAATAACAAAGTGTTCAATGACAAACCGTTAATGCGGAAGAAAAATTCAGTAGTTGTCTCCTCTATAGGTCATGGCCAGCGTTTATAAACCTCCCACTGGCGAGTACAGTAATAGTACCAGTGTTTGACAACTCCCACTGGTAGGCGTCAGTAATAACCAATGTTTAACCCCATTGGCAGGGTTACAGAAGTACCAGTGTTTAACAAACTCCCACTGGTAGGCATCAGTAATGGTACCAGTGTTTAACAAATTCCCACTGATAGGCGTCAGTAATTACCAATGTATTATCCCATTGGTAGGATTACAGAATGGACCGGTTATATCAGTAAACATGTCGACATGTGCTAGTGTTTATAAACCTCCCACTAGCGGGCATAGTAAACATGACCATATCAGAGACAAAACCATGCAGGATTTACAGAAAAACCCGAAATTCACAATCAATCTCCAATTTCAGAAATAACTCGGAAAATTTCCATATGAGCATGGATTTAACAGAAAAACTCAGAATTTACAAAACTCTCAGTTCATCAAAGCAGTTCAGTCAATTCCAAATAGGCATGCTCTACTCCAGAAAACAATAAAATTCTCATTTTCACTCCAATCATGCTCAATTCCAGAAAATAATAATTTTCATAAAAAAAATCATCAAAACTTTCATTTCAGTTTAATCACACTTAGATGCTGATAAAATCAATTTAAAATCAATTTAAACCTTGCCACCATCTCAAAAACAGTTTGAAACAGGCTTTAAAATCAAAGGGCTTTACCATAATTTACTTACCTCACTCGCTTAAAACCAAAGACTCGATCTCAATGCTAAATTGACAGAACGATCAAGAACCTAATCAAAACATCCAAAAATTAATATCCATATAAAACTACATACTTAATCCTTTTTCTATTGTTCCCGACCAATCCCAAAATGCAATATTTATTACTTTTATTTTATTTATTTTCATTACCCAAATTGTGTATATATATATATTTATATACACAAATTCATATATAATTGATTCTACTCCCACGAACAGAACAAAATAGGGGAATAGGACTTTATTTCAATTAATCCTATTTAGCAAAACAATAGCAAATCACGGGATTTTTCTCCAGAAATCGCAACAGCCTAAATCAAACTAATTCTACATAAATTAAGCTAAAAAAAAACATGTCAAAAAGGCTACCAAATTCCCCCATATTCCAGCAGATTTCGGACAACCCATGGGCAGCACATGGAGGAATCAACTTTGGCAAAAACAATGGAAATTTCATGGGATTTCCACAATTAACCTCACAGCAATCAAATTAAGCTAGTTTCTACATGAATTAAACAAAAATCATGCTTGGAGGCTGCCGAACTTCCTCCCCTATTTCAACAGAATTTCGGACATCACAAGGCAGCAAATTAAATGGATAATTTTAGGCTTGGAAAAGCCGGCAACTTACCAGAATTCCAGCCAGCAGAAACCAAGCTTGGCTGGTGAGGAAGCCGACGGGATCCTGGGGGGGACTCACGGCAAAACTCCAGAAATTCAAGAACCAACAACAAAATTAGAGTAACCCAAGCCAAATTAAGAGAGAGAGGATGAATTTCATGGCTGTGGCTTACCCGAAAAAGCCTAGAAATTTGCACCCAGCAAAACCGACGGACAGGGGAGAAAGAGCAGAGCAGATCCGGGATTTTTTTCTGGGTTGAGAGAGAGAATTCTAAGCCCCAAATTTTGTGGTTGAACAAGAAAGAAGGAGAAATTTCAAGCTTTTCCCGAGTTTCTCAAGGGGAACTATCGACAACTCGGGGGGGCTTGTCGGGAGAAGAAGAAGAGAAGCAGAAACACGCGGGTCTGACGAGGAAGAAAAGAAAGAAAGAAAATAAAAGAAAAGGAAAGCAACTGATCCTTATCCTAATTTCCTTTCTTTTTAGTCCCTCAGCTTTTGAAATTTGACTATTAAGCCCCAAAACAATATTTTTCCTCAAATTAGTCACTTACTTAATGCTAAAATATCACCAAATTTTTGGGATATTACAGGAAGAGAGAAGACAAATTGAGGTAAAACATAGATATATAATGATAATAGTCGTAGGTAAAAGAACAAAAAAATTAATGAAGATTAGATCTGGCAAACGGGCAGGTTGGGTCGGGTTAGGGTCGGGTCAAAACGGGTAACGGGTCAAAACGAGTTGGGTTAAAACGGGTCACGGGTCAA